TCCATGGCCCCGGCTCATCGCCTGCCACATGGCTGAAGGTTCCTCGCTGCCTGCCAATGCTCCCTCGAAGCTGTGGAGTGTTGTGAGCAAAAATGCTACTTGGTGAGCTGCTGGCATTAAAGTTGTGAGCGAGCAATTCGGCGACTGCATAAATTGGTTTGCTCTGGAACCTTCCTTCCTGAGCGAAGACCAAAATGTGTGAGCCGGAGGCTAAAAACCTGTAAGCTAGCTCACAATAACTCAGCTTAGAGGGAACACTGCTGCCTGCTGTCCTTTTATATCAATTTGCTCTACAGAGTCCTGTCCGCCATGGACTTATGCAAGTGGCCCTTTGGTCTCCTTTGAACTGCAGCTTCCCGATCCGCTGTGAGATGAAATGTGCTTCCCCAGGGATTCTGCTATTTCAACCATTTATTTCTCCACAGCTGCCCAGATTTTAATATCCTATTTGAATAATTTTTAATCTCCTATTCGAATCATTCTTACCCCCCTTAAGAAATCAGCGGTGGTTCTCCATTATCCACTGTGCAAGAAACGAGCGATGATGAGATCAGCTTTCCTTTTTCTGTCCCCCTCTTTGAGAGGCAAGTAGTTTCAAGGGCAGGGCTTGCCTTGGGTAGCTCCTTTTGGAGCAAAGAGCACTGAAAGATTATAGCATTTTTGGCACATGTTTCTGTTGCAGAAAAGTCCCACGGACCCATGTTACCATTCCTCTTTGCGTCCTCTGAGAGGTTGAGATATCCAGCCGCTGTTCCAGGACTTTGCCTGGCAGCTTATTACTCACCTGAACCCACCTGAGTCACTCTCCGGAGCCCACCTGAGTCCCAGGAGGTGTTCTTTGCTTCAGTCTGGTGTAGGGGTTAAGAGCACAGACTCTAATCTGGGAGAACTGGGTTTGATTCCCCACTCCTCCACATGCAGCTGCTGGCGTGACTTTGGGTCAGTCACAAGTTCCTTCGGAGCTGTTCTCTCAAGGGCAGTCCTCGAAAGAGCTCTCTCAGCCCCACCTACCTCACAGGGTGTTTGTCATGGGGAGAGGAAGGGAAAGGAGATTGTAAGCCGCTCTGAGACTCCGAGTGAACAACGGGGTATACATCCAATCTCTTCTCTCTGGTTATCTGTGCTGCCATCAGGTGGTCATTTTTTAAAATTTAAATATTATTTTATTACATACAACATACAATAAAAATATTGGTACAGTAACAACAGAAAGGAGAAATTAACTTTCCAAACAGTATCTTGTTGACAAACAACATAACAACTATAGCTATATCAAACTAATAGATAACTAACATCAAAACTAAAGGTTATACAATATCACCAACCCGCAATTTAACCTAATGAAACATGTATAGTGGCAAGGCATTTGTCCAAGGATTACGTGGCCTGTGCATCATAAACCTGTTTTGTTTAGCTAGCAAAACCTTCCATTTGTTCATCGGGCTTTGAGTGCTTTCGATTAGATTATGCTGGGCGGACCATTCAGCAATTTTGTCATCAATCAGATATTCCCATAGTTTAGTGTACCAATGGTCTATAGAGGGGACAGCCTGGGTTTTTGAATTCTTTGCAATGATACACTTTGCTGCAGTTAAAAGTACCG